GCCGGTTTTTTTTTTTTTTTTATCCCCCTCCGTGTGGCCTATCCGAGCATCAGCCTGACAACTGCCGAGAGCCGGGGATCTAATTAGGAAGGAATTTAATTAATTTGGGATTAAAAAAAAAAAAAGAAAAAAGAAAAAAAAAAAAGGGACGTGGATGTGAATGCATCGGCTTCGCCCCGGTAGCCGGAAAGGGCTTCCCAATGTCATGTACGGCCGCTTTTATTCATTCAGCTTATTCAAGTGAGAGGGGGAGGAAGAAAAAAAAAAGTAAGCAGAAAATAAATCATATGTCTGTGTGTGTGTGTGTGTGTGTGTGTGTGCGTGTGTGTGTGTGTGAGAGAGAGGGATGAGGAGAGGGGGGGGGGGGGGGTTTGGCCTACCTGTTTACGAGTGGCTGTTTTCAGCGGGTTGCCCGTGTTAGCAAAGATCATCCTGGAGGTTAAAAGATGGATTTCAATCCCGAGTAATTTTTTGCGAAAGACGAGCCACGAGAGACGGAAATGGAGCGCGGAGAGGTGGCTGGCAAAATAACCGCTCGCGCTTATAATATCCGCATACTTGAACGGGCCGGTTTAGCAGCAGCAACAACGAGAATAATGGTTTAAAAAAAGAGACTCGGTATCGGAAATGTACCCTGACACATCTATTACACAGTCCGGGCGGTTCAGACCAGGCTCTGGACCAACCCTCCGGTCCGGCTCATTGATCTACGGCGTCCTGCTGCAGACCGCTCGCGAGTCCCACCTACTACGGACCGTACCATCTTCTTCCCCAGGCAGGGGGGTGTTTTGGCTCCGCATCAAATCAACTGCGCGGCCGCCTGTTTCAAACTCCAGCGAGCCGTCGTTTTTTTTTGCCTGCAAAGGCACGAGGAGGCACGTGCTGTCTGCTGAATTACTTTCTAATCGCGCGCAGAGTGGTTCGCGGTTTTGGGTTTTTTCCGGCGCGAGATGGAACGTCCCGACCAGCCCGGTTCCTCTCGCGGTGTCGTCGTCCGCACATACCAAGCATTCCTCTCGCCCCCACCTCCTTCCGAAAAAGCGCTCGCGCGCGCACACGCGGGCCCTAGCACGCACGCGCGCGCGCACTCTCTCTTCCTCTTGATGCCCTTCCCCCCATCCAACATACATGTCAGAGATTCGGGATGCGATGAAATAAGCGGCGATTGGCCCGGTCAGGAGGTCACAGTCCCTTAAAACCCAACTCTGTGTGTGACAGTGTGAGGGGACGAGGGGGGAGAGAGTGTGTGTGTGGGGGGGATTAATAAACCAAACAGCGGGCAAATATTTGGAAACAAAGACACAAAATCCCCTCCTGGTTTTGCATGTGCTGTTTCCTTGAACACAGTCAGCATCTCTTGGCTCCGTGTACGCAGGTCATGTGGCATTAATGTTTAATGGTGATGAGGCAGAGGCAAAAAATACTCCTTCTATGAACTTGCAGATCGAGAGAGACGTTAGGATTCCCAGCTTCAAGTGCGTTTGCAGGATTTATTTAGTCTCTGGTGTTATTTGCTGAAGTGTTTACTAAGCATTTTTGCATGTGGAGCACCAAAAACTCACAGCTCTCAGAGATGGGAAAAGAGGAACCACCGCCTCCTCGCTGGAGTTTCTGGTTTTGAAGATGAAGTGGCTAGTTGTAAATGCTTTAAACCAGCTCAGCTTTTTTCTTCATTTTTTGATCCCCTGGTTCCACACATGGGGATTTTTTAAACTGCATTTATATCTGAAGTAATACAGAGCAATATCTCCGGCTCAGTAAATCTTTATGAAATACTCACAACGCACAAATGATTTGACCTGTAGCGATGGCATCAGTTTATCAGTATTTCCTATTTTGCATTGCAAAATGCCAATTCTGTACAAAAATCTTTCATTTTCCAGGCAAATCATCTCAACGACTGACTCTGGTGGGCTGCGAGAATACATGACATGATAGATTATTGCACATATGGGCTGTTATTAGGCTGTCACATTAAACATTAAAACATCACGTCTGATTCATGCCTGGCTCTTCATCCATGGCGTGCTGCTAATTTTAGATATTTACATCCATAACTGCTGGCACCAGATTTAGCAGAAAGTCACCACACTTCTGTGGTAAATGTTGTCCCAGTTGTGCAAAGGTCATCCGAAAACATTTCTAAAGTCTGGACATTTGAATATTTCAGGCTCAGCTTAATGGAGAAGCGAAACAAGTCGATGCGGGACGAAAAAAGTGTTTGAGTGAAACTGCCAGACTGTGGAAGGATGTCTGTAAAGTCAAAGCTGCTGAAGAGATAATACGCCGTGCCATTCTGAGGGGTGCATGTTTGCTCAATTGTGCCAGCTGTGGCTTTTTTTTCTGACCTTTAGCTTTGTCATCACAGCGTACGGCGTGGATCTTTATCATCAGGGGTTTTTGGGGTTTACTTTAAAGACAGGGGTGGATGGAAAGAGTGCAGAGTAGTTGCACAAGATACAAATGTAACTCTGGACGCGTTCGGCCTGAATGTTTCGGTGCACGCTCGCCTTTCGCATTGATTCTAATTCGCTCCTTTTATATTCACTCAGAAGCAATCAAGAGTTCAAAGCAGTGCGTGCCACTAGCCGCCATGCTGCTGCAGGCCCTTCTGGAGATTTATAAAGTGACGCCAACATCCAAATCCCATTGGGGCGCAAGAGGCTCTTAAAGCATCAGATTTCTCTCCCTTATTTCCTCTGCCGACCGGATTAAGGTTTCACGCTGGTTTCGTGTTTCTGGCGACTTCTGATGTGCCTTGAACAGCCTAGTCGGGCCTATCAGGGCAATCAGCTGCAGATGGCTTCCTGTGCTTGTTCTTATCTGGTTAGGTAGTTGTTGATTCACGTAGCCATTACACCAACGGTGCAGATGACAGATGAGATTCCGTATTAAACTAATCACGCATCCCAGATCAAAACTGTGCTTCCAGCAGCTTTTTTGCTTTGTAAGATATCAAACATCCCAATAGGTCAGCTGATCCACAGACTACAGCCCACATGTCCATAAATGGGTAATTCATCAAAAAGATTTTTAAAATGACCTCACCCTGTTTTGGAGCTGAATTCAATAAGCACTAATGACTCAGCAAACAAGGTACCGTTTGGAAAATTAATGTTGTTTTTTTTTGCATTAATCAAGTTATTACTTACATGAGTTCTTTGGATAATGAAAGTGCTCCGGCTGCTCAGGTTTTATCATTATTCAATCTGTGACAGCAAGCAACAATCCATAAGAATGTAACTAAAGTCAAAAGCCTATTTTAGAAGCATAATTAATATGCATGCATAATTGATGTATCAACTCTGCATTTCCAAGATCAAACAAACTGTGTCAGCCCACCATAAGGAAGCACATCCTGGTTAAGAATGCAGAGTGTGTTCAGTCTTGTTGAGGTAGCAGGGGGTCCTGTGGGTTTGAGCTGGGAGGAACTGAGGAATGTGGATGATTATCTCCTCTGTCCACATTCACCACCGAATTAAGGAATTTGAAATTCCCCTCGGTGACCTTAGGATGCAAGCTGACTTATCCGGCACCACAGTGTGGCCACTACTGGGGGAAATTCAGCAAACTGTCCTGCAGAGCTCAAACGGAGAGGCGTTTTTTTTTGTTTTCAGAACTCCAGTCACGGTGTGGTTTTTGCTTGTAGTTTGCGGCTCCTCTGGGGATAATGAAACGTTTCCTTGACTTCTGAAAAGCTATTAGATATCCAAAGACATTCTCTTTTTACACTTAAAGTAATAATGCTGTTAACAATATCAATGTTGCTTTATGTCTTCTATGCATTGAAGAGAAAGTTTGTTTAGCATTCAGTGGAGTCCCATACACCACCCAAAAAAGTATGTTCAAAAGGGGGAAGTTGTTGCAACATGTGCAAACTAGCAAATAAGATCTCTGAATGTTTGAAGACATAAGGCATAAACACCTTGGTGATAGCGTAGGCTAATTAAAATATAACGAGTGAAAACGTGCATCTTTTCTTGTTGGCTGCCATAGTAGAAGTGAGGAATTGTAAAAGATGTCTTTAAGTCTATATGTGTATGAATTGCTCATGCACTTCCATGAAGTTTGCATTTAACTTATGGTGGCGAGGTTCAGTAAGGCAACATCTTCATGCTCATTTGCTCGGTTCATTCGATATTAGTCATCTCAACTTTCAAACTGTTAAAGTTTAATATTAAAGTATTTGTGTCAACCAACCACAAACCACTAAACCAAAATTAATCAGAGGAAGAACTTTGGACGTTTTAAAATATTGAGACTGCATTCATTCTCATGCAGACTTAAATCTTTAGACTTCAGTCTAAGTGACAAGGAATACGATCTATTGTTAACATAATTTCCAATCGATATACTGGTAAGTTCCTGCACACTAATATTTGCTCTACAAACAAATTACATGCTTTTTGAAAAAAGAAACAACTTTTTCACACAGCTTAAAGTTCCAAGTGTTAGCATCTAAAACGAAAACCATGTAAAGTAAACTATTTTACTTCAGAGCTCGCATTTAAATATATTCTCTTAAAATTTGCCACTGCAATCGACAGTAGTGGGTTGAAATGTTCTGCTTCGTGGCGCCCCCTGGTGACGTATTTCCGTAAACGTGAGTCCGGCAGTGAAAAAATACGTCACGAGTGCCACGGAAGTAGTTACTCGAAAGAACGAATTCGGGCTGATTCATTGTAGCCTGCTGGTTGTATCCAACTGAACGCAGAAAAACACTGACATTTGTAACCTAAAGCCTAGACAGCAGGTAAGTAGAGATACCGTTTTTAAACAGGATGTATTAGTTATTGAAATCGATGCAAAATTGTTGGTACAAAAGTTTTGAAGCTCGTTTTCTCATTATGAACAAGTAAGGCCAAGTTAGCCTTCGCACGCTAGCAGCAACATGACGTTAAGCGTTTCTATACTCTGTTGATTTTTACTTAATCTTAACAAAACAAGTCCAAATGAACAAGCATTAAATTGCAGCATCTCTTAATAGAAAGCGTACGTGTTTTGATATATAATTATGTGCTTGTGTTGCTGGGAATTCATGTTAAGTTAGCATTAGCATTGTTTTGTTGTCTTTTGGAACTAAAACCTCAGATACCGGTGATGATGATATTATACTGTCACGATCTTATTACAATTAATTGTTTTAGTACACGTTTACGCTTGTAGTTGAACAGATTAAACATGCTTACAGTCGTAATTATTACATTCTAAAGATCCCACAGATAGAATTTCTCTATATTCCCTTTTATTTGAGATTTAAGAATTCAGTAGACAAACTAAATTGATCATTACAGATTGCTGTCGGAGTTTAAAGACAAGGATGTCATTTTTGTGGGGGTGCTTGGTTTACAGATCTTAATATGGACCGGCTCCTAAGGCTTGGAGGGGGAATGCCTGGACTTGGCCAGGTAAAACGAAAAGCAAAGCCAGAAACGTGAATTGTTTAGCAGCATCTTCATACGCCACATCACAGAACTGTTGTCCTCTGACTCCTCAGGGCCCTCCGACAGACGCGCCTGCTGTGGACACAGCAGAGCAGGTGTACATCTCCTCCCTGGCCCTGCTGAAGGTGATCAATCATCCACTGAGGCGGACAGTGTTTTGGATGAGGTCATATCTGGATTCTCATAGTTTTTTGCTCTTCATTAGATGTTGAAGCACGGCCGAGCTGGCGTACCGATGGAAGTAATGGGTTTGATGCTGGGGGAGTTTGTTGACGACTACACAGTGCGAGTGATTGACGTGTTTGCTATGCCTCAGTCTGGAACGGTAACTTCTGCCATCTATGTTTGTCCCCTACGGGACCACATTAATAGGCCACATAGACAGAACGCATTTTGTTGTGTACAACCTTTGGGTTCCCTTCACAAATGGATGTCTTTGCCCCTCACAGGGAGTGAGTGTTGAAGCAGTGGACCCCGTGTTTCAGGCAAAGATGTTGGACATGCTGAAGCAGACCGGCAGGTGAGCCTTCAACTATATGTATCCAGTGGTTTTCTGATAGCTCCCGTTTAGGGTTGTCACGATACTAAAATATTCAACTCGATACCGATACTCAGGAAAATATTTGATACTTGAAACCATTTTGGATACCACGAGGATAAAAACAAAGACCCCAAAATTGAACAGAAATATTTTTATTAATAAATAAATACAATAAAAAATAAGAAGAATATTTTGAGGTTGTATGCTGTGCACAATATTAAGCAAGCTTGATTTAAAAAACAAACAAAAAATTAACTTCAGTGTTCCTTCCTTGGCTATGCTTTACACACATAACAATGACACTAGCCAAGCCAGTTAAACAAAAATAAATGCTCTATTCTCAGCAGCTGCACCTGTTACAAAAAAAAGTATGAAACCAATAAGTGCACAGAATTATTCATTATTGTACTCTGCCACAGCTCTGTTTATTTTCATAGCTTCTGGGGATGCTACTTTTGAAAATGAGAATCGTATCCAGATACCGCGTTTTAGTATCGATACTTTTTGGAGTATTGATACTTTGACAACCCTACTCCCATTGCCTACACGCCAGAGACCTTTGACATTATTATTTACCAGTTCAGGATTTCAAAGAAAACTCTGGGGAAAAATAAGTCAATTTTCCAGTGTCCATTCTCCCTCTGCTGTGCTGTAAACTTGCTGCTGTCCGCCTGTTCTTCAGGCCGGAGATGGTTGTGGGGTGGTACCACAGTCACCCTGGCTTCGGCTGCTGGCTGTCGGGTGTGGACATCAACACCCAGCAGAGCTTCGAGGCCCTGTCGGAGCGGGCGGTTGCCGTGGTGGTCGATCCGATCCAGAGCGTCAAGGGGAAGGTGGGGGAGCAAAGCCCAGAAACCGCCGCTGTTGGGTTTAAACTTTTCATTAAACGGCTATTTCCTGTTTTCTTTCAGGTGGTTATCGATGCATTCAGACTGATCAACGCCAACATGATGGTGTTGGGCCACGAACCCAGGCAAACCACATCCAACCTGGGCCATCTGAACAAGCCCTCCATCCAGGTGCAGTAACCTGTAGCCCATCTTTCAGGGCGGGGCCCCCTCAGCACAGGGTGGGGTCGTGTTTTTTTAATGACCGTTAAGCGATGCACAGCTTCACTTCAAAATGCACACAGGCAGTATATTGACCACATTTTCAAGTTTAAGCTGGCCTGTGACTCTTTTTTTCCTCTCAAGAACATTCCCATACTGACAGATGTTATGATAAAAGGAACGTGTCATGATCCTGTCATGATCCTGTCATGATCCTGTCTATTATTCTCATTTATCATCTATTTTTGTTTGATGTTTACGATTGTTTTTAACATTATATGATTTAATTTAACATGATTTCATATTTTGAAGTGTATAAAGAGTTGCTGAGTATTTGTGTAACTTTAAATTAGCGGTCTAATTAACATGGAAGGCTAACAGAGCCTTTGTTTATTAATCATTAATAAAGTAACCATGTTTTTGATTAATGTAACAAAATATTTGTAATTATTTTTGTTCCAGTAAACAAAAACTAAAATTTGAAATATAATCATTATTGATAACAAATAATTGTTGTAGTTCTGTTGTTTAATTACCGTAACAGGACAATGAATGATTCGAAAGCTTCTTTTCATAGAAAAGTATTGGATAATTTAATGGAGATCTTTCTTGTTGGCTGGCTCTCTCAGAAAAAGGGTGTGTTTGTTAATACTTCACAAGCTGACCTGTGGGATTCTCATGTTTCAGGCTCTGATTCATGGACTTAACAGACACTACTACTCCATCACCATCAATTACAGGAAGAACGAGCTGGAGCAGAAGGTTTGAGCCCCGCAACTTCTTAGGTTTTATCTCTGTTCCCGGTTTTTGTTGGAACACAGTGAAAACGAGTCGCCGTTCTTCCTCAGATGCTGTTGAACCTGCACAAGAAGAGCTGGATGGAGGGCCTGACCCTGCAGGACTACAGTGAGCACTGCAAGCTCAACGAGACCATCGTCAAGGAGATGTTGGAGCTAGCTAAGAACTACAATAAGGTACGACTCCCTGACCCAGATTCACAGTGGTACTTTTTAAAATAAAGTTATTCTGCCCTTTAGAAGGTTAAATTAAGATGACAAAACCCTCTTAAAAGTTTGCATTGCTGGTTAGCATAACACTGCTTTAATATGCAGGTTGGTTCATGAAATGTTTCACATGATTGCTTTTCACTTTGAATCATCTTCACAGGTACACGACTTGTTCTCACAAACCGCAAAAAAAAAGCTAAATTAGCTTTCTAAAATGACCATAAATGGTAAGATTTCTCAACTTTTCTTCCCCAGGCTGTTGAAGACGAAGACAAAATGACCCCCGAGCAGCTGGCGATCAAGAATGTTGGAAAACAGGTACTGAAAACAACCAAATTGTTCCCTTCATTTGAGCCTGTGAGAGCAGACAAACGCGTCCTTACACTCTCAACATTGAGATTGAGTTACTTTGTTAATAAGGTCTCCTGTTTATCCGACTGTGTTTTTGACCAAACCACAAACAAACTACGTTTTATCAGCGGTCATACCTCAAATATTTATATTTTCCCTTCCTCCCTCAGGATCCCAAGAGACACTTGGAGGAGCATGTAGATGTTTTAATGACATCCAACATTGTTCAGTGCCTAGCTGCCATGTTGGATACTGTTGTTTTCCAGTGATGGCTCTTTGTGTATAACTGTTCTTTTCTTTTATATAAAATAAATGTATGTATGAAATTATCATCTTTGTCACTATCGTCTTAGTCTATCATTCCAGGAGATCGGCTTTTAGATAATGAGATAGGCTTACTTTATGTGGCTTTATCTTTAGATATACTGGTAAATACTTTATGCACATGTGATAACGTGTTATTTTGTTCCAGTTTGTATTAACAGAGCACCTGGGAGTCTTGGTACATTGGTGTAATACCGGCTCTAACCACTAGATGGTGGAAAAGTAGCTCGTGTCAAACATGGAGGTTCAAATTGAGATGCAAGCTGTTGAATATTGAGAACGATGATGTTTCCACTTTAGTGTAATGTTTCCCACTAATCGGTCCAGATAAGCTCAGCTTGGCACACATGTCCAGGAAAACAAGTGTAGTTTTTCTAATCTGGCTTTCAGTAAAACCACTCGGTCTTTGTTCCTCATGAAATAGTCCAGATTTCAAGTGGAAACTTAACCACTGAACCCAAAATACATCCAACCTTTCCTCTGGATCCACTCAAAGTGCAGCCGAGTCAAGTTTTCTCATATTTGTGTATAAGCAAAAATGTAGTTAATTGAGTTATCGGGTTTTGCCAAGAACAATGTCCTCTAATCACTAGTTTGCCACTTAGAAATTGCTTCAAATGTTCATATTGCTCTAATTTTTGCCTCTGAATATCAACAATTCTCTGAATTCTCTGGACTTGTGTTTGCAGAGGGGAGTGAAGCCCAACAGCCTGAACCGCTCTTCGTTTATTACCGTTAGTGGGAGTGGGGTACGGTTTAGAATGGGTTCACGGGACCTCAGCCAGAGATGAGGCTCCTATTCCGGCAAGAACATGGAACATATGGTCCTCTTCCAGTATATAATGACATTCCCCTCCTTAGAGGGCTGCAGGTTACATAATTTCTGTTCCTGACCAAAATCCTTCTCTTTAGGATGTTGTTTTAGTCCCCCACACGGAGCACAAAAAGATGAAGACTATGTAATAGAACGCCTTCCTCGGGGCCGTATGCAGAGAAGTCAGGCCTCACTAAAATCCCATAAGGTGAATGTATAAAACGTGTTGAGTAACAGTTTTCAAGAACAAATTACAGTTCTTACTGGAAGCATTTTTTACAGCTTACTGTAAAAAATTAAACTCGGGTCAACATTCATGTTTCGAAAGCTGACTGAGGTCTGGTTGGAAATGAATTTACTGGACTGTTGAGGAATTTACAATCCACACAAGAAAAAAATAAACAAATACTTGGTTTGCCCTTTTTTCGGTGGTCTGTAATGAAGCTTTGGGTTGCTTTGTATAAAAATAGTCTCATACCACAGATGACTGATAGAATTTACTTAACCCTCCAGGTTGATCACCGGTCTTTGTCCAAAGGTTCAGAACGTGGACACACCAGCTCAGAACAGCTGTTTTTCATTTGGATTCCGTCATCCGCAGCTGCTTTGTCTGATTATGGCTGAAATTTATGCTGAATTCTCAAGTTAAACATCTTTAACTGTAGGAAAACATTCATGAATCCAGAGGGGAAGCGGTGGGCTTCTGCTTGGAGAATATCGCGTCTAAAGGAAAGACACCTAATCAGGTGCAGACACTCATGGGTTCCCAGAAGATGAGGTGTAATGACTTTAGCACGGCCACAAGTTTGACATTTGCTTTTTACGGGTAGATTTGAATGGAAATCGAATATACGTCAAACTCTGGGTTTAGGGATGTCATGGATCGGCCAATCAGGATGCTTGGCTGCTGGTTTCGTTTGTTCTTTGAAACATTACTGCTCTTTACATCAAGTGCCAGTGACAGTTTCCCCTGTGTTGACAAAAAAGAATATTTTTAAGACTTTTTTTTCTCTTTAAGCACAGCTGATATTTGGACCAACAGCTATCGCTTTGCATATAACAGCTCTCCCTGCAATGAAGTCAGATAAAAAATTTAGACAAATATGAAGTATATTTTTGTGCACATGCAGCCATGGATGCTGTTTGCAAGTTTGAAAATAGGCCGTGCCTCTGTGTGTGCGTGAGTGCTTCATTCTCATTGTGCACTCAAAGTGCTGAATCATCGTTCTCTCCCAGCCAACTGATATAATGGAGACATTTTCAGACATGGCGTAATGCGCTCTTCTGGAAATGCCAGGAGATGTCTCACTGAGATTACAGTCCTCCATCCAAAGCAGTTGTCCCGAGAAGCCGATTCCCAGCAACAAGGAGACCTCAATCGTTACAAGAGACCCCATCCACAGGTCTCAATCCGTCATTTATTGTTTTTCTGTGTCTTTTTCTTGAGATCAAACTGGTTTTATGAAGGATCAATGGATGTTGGAGTTGTGCACAGGTCTGCTTGCACTCTCAAGAGTGAGCACGTCTTTTCTGCAGTCTTGCTCAAAAGGCATTTTCTCCTCTCCTCTCGTGGCCAGCGCTTTCAAACGGGCGGGTTTAGGAGGGGAGCTGCAAACGGGGCCAAGGCTTTAATAAACTCTGGTGATTTTTGGTGTGGTTAAAGAGGACAGATCACTCCCGGGAGGCGAAGGCAAAGCACACGAGCCTCCTCTGCCCCGCCTCGGCGGAGGGAAAGCAGAGGATGACGCAGTGCGTTCTCCAAAAAAGATTAACAGTTTAGAGAGCCATCAAATGGGAACAACCGTGTTGTTGTTTAGAATTCTTACGAGGTAAGGAGGTAAGCCACGTTTTGATGCCGGGACCTGCTTAAAATTCTTGGTTGCTGAATCAAAGGGAAAGTGAAATGAGGGGAAGAATGCTTTTAAGTCTTGACCTTTAAAGCAAAACAATGCCTCATGGTCCTGGACGGCACATGATGTTTTTGCAGGGCTCCAGCGCTTACGACAACGCAAACCCAACGAGACGAGGGCTTTGCCTGAAAATGAAATACAAAAGCACTTGCTCCTCTTCCCTCTCTGCTCTATAGCTTTTTTACTCCAAGGATTCAAAAAGACCCAGGTTGCTCTCCACGTGCTGGCCCAAAGCCCAGCTGGGTTCTTTCTGTGGAGTTTGTTCTTCTGTTGTACATGGGAGACACACAGGAGTTTGTTTTCTATGTATCGGTGATTCTCCTCTGAATGGGGGACATCCAAATGAACTTTGCAGCCCTGAACTTCTGGGTTTTGGGGAAATTTTATGTGTGATTGAACCTCACAGGCTTCTGTACTTGGCACCTTTCCCAACCTCCTAAGCCCTCCGTGCACACTTCCGATGAATTTACTGGTACATTTGTCACATATTGAGTCATTCACAGCCTTCTAACTCTAAGTATTGGTCTTCCATATCTGGAAGAGTTGTTAACCTTTGACCTCCGAAGCTTACGACTGAACAATTACATCAGAAAGCAAGTGTCTCTCCATCAGTCTGGGCGTTCTTCTCACACAGGGGAGGAGCCATCTACGTTTCTTTCTTCCTTTTGTGCACATGGCTTAGAATATTTTAGTTGAAAGTTGATCAAAATGAAATGCATAACTGTCCCAGTAAACACGCCGACAATTTGTATTGCAATTTTTGTTTAATCCATCTTAATTCCCATCAACATTCAAACCTTATATCTTCTATCATAAGGATTACATGCGTTTGATATTTAAAAAAAAATCTAACTGTTGCAACACAGACTGCGTTATTTAGATCCTATAAAGCTGATACAATGAAAATGTTTATCTGCTTCCAGAACATGCGTCTAAGCAACAGAGCCTTCTCGTTGCTGTTGGGGATGAGCTGTAGCTCCGCCTCTCAAGCACCTTTGTATTGGAAATTTTGCTCTTTAAATGTTTTTTTTTCATAGTGACGATATGACAGGTCGTCTTGAAAAGGTCACGTCAGATTCAGAAAGCACTTTGGACACTGGCTGTTCTCAGTTTTTCCACCACAGAGGGCACTACTGCTCAGTCACACAGGACTCCCCTGCCAGAATAAGAGGAGGGGGAATTTTTTTAGATTACCATGATTCTAAAAGTACAAGATGGGAACCATATAGGAACTTCAAATATGCAGTTTACACATTTGTCTTCTTTCCAAATGTGCACGTACCGGCCACACTTCGACATTAACCCCTATAATGCCATACGTATCATGTTTGGTACAAACGGTTTCTGTTTTGAGACCTTTCGCATCATTTGATGGTAAAAACTTTGCTCAAAACCCCGTTGTACACAGTCAGATATACCTGATACCAGCCAACGGTAATCAATTGTGAAGATTAAAAAATAATTTCAGTTTTTTTCACATTTTCTGTAAAAGGACCAAATCAAGATCTTGGATCAGGCTTTAAAGGGTTAATGTTACGTTAGATAATCGAAGCTCCAGAGCAGTCGCCTCTCTAATGGCGGATCTCTTATGTGTGCTGGATATGACAATGGGGCCGATGTCTGTGGATTTCACACATGTTCAGCTCTGCACATCTGGAGGAGCATTCAACTATCAACCCAAAAATGTTTGTTTCAGTCTCCACGCAGCTCCACAGAGCACTCGATTTTTATCGCAACCAATTAAATGTGGCCAAGCAAGGTTAACGTGAGCCGTTTGGGCCTTTTATCGAAACGCAATCTGTCAGGCAGATGTTTTCTATCAGCCTAAAGTAAAGACTCCTCAGTTCTCAAGTGGACTGCTCCACCAGTCACAGTGCCCTTAGTGCTCAAAGATCTTTACTTTCAGCCGATAAATAAGGGCTCTGCCCCCTCAGATGAATTCAACTAAGGGCAATTTCTAATTGCAGGATTTTCAGGCAAAAACTAAACACACTGTGTGATGAATTGGGCCTGCTTTCTAAAATGTTAATGTTAATGTAAATGTTAATGTTAAAATGTTAATGTTAATGCCTGATGTGATGAATGTGGACTGACTTTTGTATCACGTTGGAATAAAGCTCAGATTCATATAGTTTAGTCAGTACAGCCTGCCTCCAGGAATGCTTCTAGCATGACTGCATTTTTTTTTATTATCCCGAAGGACCAAAACCAAGTTAATCTA